AAAAGGTTATTTATGCACTCCAATGCAGCCTCCATTGCCAAAATCAAATAAAAATGCGCCCAGAAAACAAAAACTGCCTAATTACGTATCAGATCCCGCCCATTTCTGTCCAAATCACTGAGAGGCTTATTCGCATTGTATTATCATAAGACCTTGAAGTTCAGCAAAATAAAGTAGGTAATTTGCGATGGAATGTTTACAAATTAGACATGGCCAATTCGCACGAGATTAACAACACAGACACTCTCCATAATTATTACAAATAACACGTGGTCCCTAAGTAAAACTACCGTGCTAATAGAGCTAATGTAACCGTTTTTGTTTCGTTTTTTAATATAATCTTCTTCCATTTATTTTTTAATTTATATGTGTTTTTTAATGATCGTCTACTGTTGTCATCGGTGTTCTTTGTTTAAAACAGGTCTCTCTTGTAAATGAGTCCTCAAGGCTCAATGAGACTAACCTATATAAATAAAGATTGAGTGAAAAAATATCTGAAAGAAATGGTGTGCCTTTACTAACATGTTCACAAATGTTTGAAAGTTTTTCCTCTCGAGACACAGCCATCAACTCCTTCTTAGATTCCACTGAGTCTCATGAACTGGAAAAGGTGAGATTAGAAAAGATGAAGTCATCACAGCTATAAATCAGCTAAATAGTGGTAAATCTCCAGGCCTACATGCTATACCAGTAGAGTTTTATAACCTATGTTTTAATATCATTAAACTTTTGACTTATGTTCTTAATATTGGATGAAAGAACAGTGTTTTTAGGTGAATCATTTTATCAGGGAATCATGTGTTTATTATATAAGATGATAAATGTGACCTGAATAATTACAGACAGCTAACTTTTCTGAAGGCTGATTATAAGATCTTAGCAGAAATAATAATGAACAGATGCAATTACAAAGAAAAAACGTGTCAAAGGACGTCTGATGTGGGGCATTGTGTACAGTTTGAGAAATAATTTGTAACAACAGTACAGATTTTTGTCTCCTGAGTTTAGATCAAAGGAAAGCTTTTGATTATGCGTATCTCATGTCATTATAACAGTCCAGTTATTTTAAGTTAAATCTACAGTTCAGGTGAATGTAAACAAAGTCCTTAGAGAACCTTATAAAGTATCTTGAGGTGTTAAACAGGGCTGCCCCCAAGATGCTGCCCTGCATATCCTGGCAATCAGTACCTTAATAAAAAGATAATCGTATAAAGGGTTGTCTTCTGGGCAGCAGACACAGAGTAGCTGCTCTCACTTATGCTGATGATGTTATAGTTAGAGACCAAAGTGAGATGAATGAGTTAGAACATCATCTCAGCCAGAATGAACTAGCATTAGCAGCCAAACTGAACCAAGAGAAGACAGAAGGAGTCTGGATTGGCCAGGACCACAACAGAACCTCCATTAATGTTAAAGTTCAAATAGAAATTAAAGAAGTTGAGAAATAGAACAATAAACACAAACTATAAGTCACATGTAAATTTTGTTAAAACTCACTTTGTCTCCAAATTCTTATTTTTATTAACTGTGCTCCCTCCTAAACAAAAGACTCTAGTGACTTTGAGTTAACTATATGTGAAACTTATATGGGGAACAAATCGTGAAGTCACAAAAAGATGCATAATATATGAAAATAAAAAAGATGGAGGACTTGAATCACCAAACCTGAGCATTCAGCTGTGAATGTCCATTATGAAAAATGTTTCAAGTGCTTTAAGTAGAAACGCCTCATGTGATGGAGACAAACAAACTTATATCTTTAAATTAAAAGACAGAGTGAGATCTGGAATCCCATTTTATAAACTCCTTTATGCAGATACCAAACAAAATTTAAACCATTTAAATAGAGGTGCAACAACGAATCGAGAAAATCGATAAAAATCGATTAATAAAAACGTTGGCAATGAATTTCATTATTGATTCATTGTGTCGCGCAAATATGCGTCTTTCACGGCGCTGCAGTCGTTTTGTTCACCTGCAGTTCATTGTCAATGCTGACTGACTGAATAAAGTTTAAAAAAAAAACTCTGCAGCGCAAGTTGAACAGAGCGAGGGGGGAGGTGGAAACAGAGCAGAGGCTGTTTTCAAAGGAAATTAAGTAAATTTTAGAAATGACCAATGCAGAGAAAACTGTTCGACCCAAGTCCTTCAAAGTGTGGGAGCTCTTCACAAAGATAAAAACTGAGAAGCATGCAGCTTTGAAAAGTGACGACACGACACGGGAGAACCACGGAGATAAACGTAAACATGTCGGAGTCACAAGGAGGAGGAAGGAGCAGCAGCTGATACAACTCGTCATGTGTTGCAGGCGAGTCTCTACAATATTCACATTTGTTCTGTTTCCAAGTGAGAAAACGTAACGTCAGTCTCTCTGTACCTGAAGCTGTTTGTTTATTTGTTTGCTGATTAATGACGGTGATAGAGAACATGTGTGTTACTTTTTATTTAATTTAATTGGTACAAGCAGTGTTTAAATGGCATTTATAAATAAATCTAACACAAAGATAATAATTTAATGATTAAGCTTCAACTTTTAATTTGTTGGCAAAGTCTGAAGACACTACAGGTATGGCAGGATGAATTGCATTTAAACAAGAATTAAAGTAATTTATTACATCTACTCAAATGTGTGTAACTAAGTATTTTATATATATGTGTGTGTGTGTGTTTAATTGCTCTTTTAGCTACTTTTGCCTGAACCTAACACTGTAAGTGAAACAAGGCATTTCTTGAGTTGCTGTAAATTATGTTATAATACATATTTACTCTCTCATTCCAGAAAACAACAACAAACAACAACATCCTTCATGATGGACAGACATCATGGACACCACAGCAGCAGCTGCCTTTACTGAAACATCCTGAACATGATCGTCACTGACATGAGGCCTCTGTCGATGGTTGAAGACGAAGGCTTCACTACAATGATCCACACTTTTAATCCAGGTTACAATAATCCACACTTTTAATCCAGGTTACAATATTCCACACTTTTAATCCAGGTTACAATAATCCACACTTTTAATCCAGGTTACACTCTTCCCTTAAGAACACATTTTACAAAGTAGCTACATATTGTGCAGGTATAAAGATACATTTGTATATATTTTGTGTGCATTTATTTTTTTAAGCTATTTGACTAACTTATTTTTTATTATTCAATATTTTACTAACAGAATAGTCAAATAGCAACCTGTTTTTTGTGCGAATTGCTATGTCAGTCAAATGTTCAATTTTGGAATAAAGGGGTGGAAATTAAAACGTTGTTGTTTTTTGCCGATACATCGATTAATCAACAAAAACAAATGGGCCGATGAATCGATTATTGATATAATCGTTAGTTGCAGCCCTACATTTAAACAATTGGACCAGTTCACGTAGCTACAAAAGAAATATAGTAATCAATGAAAACATAAATGGAGGTTTTGTAGATAAATGTTCCAACTCTGTAGATTATCCAACAATTGTAAAGAACATTAATGATAAAACAATTTCTGAAAGTTCTCGAGACACTGTGTGGCTGATTTCTGTCAACAGACTCCCTGTCAGAGCAGTAGTTAAATGGAAATGTTTTGATAAAACTAAGAAATGTCCCATGATTCTTTGTGATTCAGATGAAACTCTTCAGCACCTTCTGCTTGACTGCTTACAGGACTGGGAAGATAGACAAAATTAAGTCTACAGGTTTTAATGTTGAAATAAATAAGAGAGCTGTCTTTTATGTACTGTTTAAAGAAAACTTCACAGACTCAAAGAGATGTTTGTTCTGGCTGGTGATACGTGATATCAACACCAACTTCCAGTTTCTGTCCGTGAGGCTGACACATTGTTCAGTTTTAAGACTGGGCTTAAGACTTTCCTTTTTGATAAATCCTATAGTTAGCGTTGGCTTGTTATGCTGCCTTCATCTTAGACTACTAGAGGAAAAATTGACCTCATTTGCTTAACCATTCAATTTTAACTTTTTTTTTTCCATTTGATACTATTTCTATCTTAACATGTGATTCTTGACCTGCCATTGTGTATCTGTTCCTCTCAAACCCAGCTGGTCGAAGCAGATGACCACTTGTCCTGAGCCTGGTTCTGCTAAAGGTTTCTTCCTCATGAGGGAGTTTTTCCTTCCCACTGTCGCCTTCATGCTTGCTCAAGATGAGAGTTCTGTGATGGAGTTTAACTCAGAGCAGTCTGCTCCTCAGATAAAGTCTTAAATTACTATTTTTATATATGAATGTTTCTGTTAACTTATTTTACATATGAATATTTATGTTCAGTGTCCTGAGATGACTTCTGTTGTGACTTGGTGCTATATATATATAAACTGAACTGAATCTACAAAACAAGAGCAAAACGTGTCCTGGAACAACAAACTAATCAGTGGTGCTGTCTTCAAGAACACCGAGACAAACCTCAGGAGGAAAACACTGGACCTTAAATGTAAATCACCTCTGCCTTGATGATGTTTGACTATTTAGATTTGTCACTTTAGATGCATGTACTTTATAATGGCTTATCAAGGGTATTTGCAGTTGTTGCTGTCACATGAATTATTGTAAATTGTGATGTATATTGTAAATGAGTCCTCGAGGCTCAATGGGATTAACCTGTATAGATAAAGGTCGAATGAATATTGTGCTGCAGGGTATGTTAATGTTCAATCTTCAAATAAAGTTTAGGGGAAAAGAAAGAAAACAAAATAATTAAACAGTAAGTTTAACGGAGGTTTTTGTTGTTGTTGTTTTTAAATACATAATAACAAAAGAAAAACGCCTTTATCCCTTACCAGGTGCCGGAGTAAGCAACAAATAAAATTAAAAAACGATCGCAATGATTTGTTGAATTTGCTAGTAATATACAGAACGCAAATATTCGAATATCACTAAAAAGCATTTGTACACGAGCACAAATTATAAAGAGAGTTTGTGTGAGAGCAGCGCAGTCATGAGGCGGAACAGCACTCAGCTAACACTTAGCTGCTGACAGCACCGCGAGCCATGAAATACCTGGTCTGTGCAATCCAAGTATGGAGTGGAAAACAGGATCCAGTATTTTGTCTTGTTGCTCCTTTTCCAGTTCATAATCTATCTTTTCTCTTTCTAAACACTCCATTTCCACACCGCGGTAAAGTTAGTTGGACATTGAACATTCGAGCTCCGGGGCTTCAGCGGTGTGCTCCTCTCGTTCGATCCAGTGCAGGCAGTCTGACTTCGGTCAGCCGCGCTCAGTCTGTCCCCGAGACCTGATGGTTCTTCTTCTTCTTCTTCTTCTTCTTCTTCGTCTTGTGTTTTATGGCGGTTGGCAAGCAACGTTTAGATGTGCATTACCGCCATCTACTGGAATGGAGTATGGATCGGGATGCTAAATAATTACTATAGGTTTAACTAAATAAAATAATAAGAAAATAAGAGAAAAAAAAAAAAAACTATATTCTCTCGATTATTTCCGTCTTCTTAAGGTAGCTTAACAAAAAAACAACAAGTTCAGAAGTGAGAAGTTTATCCAAAAGATCCTGTATATTCAACTGTAGTTTGTTGACCTGTAGTCTATGTGCCAGTTCCTTCCTCTCAGCTGAATATTTGGGACAGAATAATAAAACATGATTCACTGTCTCTTCTTGAAAACAAAAGTCACATTTTCCTGTAGGATGTTTTCCCATTTTAAACAATGTACTGTTTAATCTTGTGTGGCCAAAACGTAATCTGGATATGACTGTTTCCTCCTTTCTATTTCGTCCTGTTCTCCTCATCACACCAACTTTCCTTTGAATGTTATAAAACCACCTGCCAGTTCTTTCTTCTTCCCACTGTTTCTGCCATCTTTCCTTCACCTTTTGTTTAATAACTGATTTGATTTCTCCTTTACTGAATGGTACCAGTATATCAATGTAAGTATTTTTTGTTGCTTGTTTTGCATATTTATCTGCCAACTCATTTCCTTTTATTCCTATATGTGATGGTATCCATATAAATGTAATTAATAAACCCATCGCTTGAATTCTATAAATTAATAATTGAATTTCTAATAAAAGGTCAGGTCTGCTGTCTGAATGATTATTTTTCAATGAGTATAATGAAGAACTTGAATCAGAACATATTATACTCCTTAATGGACGAACTTCCTCAATCCATCCCAGAGCTAAAATGATTCCTATCATCTCTCCTGTGTAGACTGAGACTCCATCAGTAATTCTTTTACCTGTTTTGAAACTGAATTCTGGAACAATGAATGAAACCCCGCTACTGTTATCTGAATTTTTTGATGCATCTGTATAAATTTTAACATATCCATAATACTTACTATCTAAATATGTTTGTATTGAATGAGAATCTGAAATGTTTTCTTTTTTACGATTTTCCAACAAAGTGAGATCAACATCACTATTACTTAAAAGAGATGGGTGAACTGGAGACTGAGGAACTGTTTGACTAATATTTATGTGAGATATATCTAAATCTTTTATAATGTTTTCTACAGTCCAGCCAAATGAATTTAATTTCTTTTTCTCTTTTTCCCAGCTAGGTTTTAAAATCTCTTGACATGGATGATTTCCATTATGACCTTTTAACTGACACCAGTAAGTTGAAAGTATTTGTAATCTTCTAAGCTGAAGTGGCATTTCTCCCATTTCCACCAGTAAAGCTGATGTTGGAGTTGTTCTGATGGCACCTGTACATAATCTCAAGGCTTGATGCTGAATATTATCTAATTTTTTGAGTAATGTATCTGATGCTGACCCAAATGCTATACTGCCATAATCAAATAAGGACCTAATTAAACCTGTGTATATTGATTTCAGTGCTTTCCTCTCAGCTCCCCACTCACTCCCCACCAAACACCTCATTACATTTAACACTCTCTTACATTTATCTATTATGTTTTGAATATGCACTTTCCAAGTAAGTTTGTCATCTAACCATATACCCAAAAACTTAAATTGGTTTACCCTTTCCAAATCATGATTATATATTTTCAATTTTACATTTTCTGATACCTTTTTTCTTGTAAAAAATAAAGTCTTCGTTTTATCTATAGAAATTTTGAATCCCCATTTAAAGGACCAGTTTTCTATTTCATTAATTGCTTCTTGTGTCTTTTTTACAATATAATTTAAATTTTTCCCCCTCTTCCAGATTGCCCCATCATCAGCAAATAAAGAAAACCCCATTCCATTCTCCAAATTTTCAAACATATCATTAATCATAATAGAAAAAAACAATGGGCTCAATATACTTCCTTGGGGAGTTCCATTTTCAACCAAAAATTTTCCTGAAAATGTTTTTCCTATTCTCACTTGTATTGATCGATCTTGTAAAAAATCTTTTATCCAATAAAACATTGAACCATTTATTCCCATCTTTTTTAGTTTTATTAATAAACCTTCCTTCCACATCATATCGTAAGCTTTCTCTATATCAAAAAAGACAGCCACCACACTCTCCTTATTAACTTGTCCTTTCCTGATTTCATGTTCTAAACATAAAACAGGATCCATAGTGTTTCTACCTTTTCTAAATCCACTTTGGAATCTTGATAAATATCCCCTCTTCTCAACAAAGTAAGTCAGTCGTTCATTTATCATTCTCTCCATAATTTTACATAAATGTGAAGTTAAAGCTATAGGTCTATAACTGGCTGGGTTTGATCGTTCTTTACCTGACTTGAGGATTGGAACTATGATTGCTTCTTTCCATGCTTTAGGTAAAAAGCCTAATTCCCAGATCTTATTATATAATTCCAGTAAAACTTTTTTAGATGAATTACTAAGCTGATTAATCATAATGTAAGAGATATTGTCATTTCCTGGAGATGAGTTTTTTGATTTCCTAAGGGCATTATTCAGTTCAAAAAAGGAAAAGGGAGCATTTAATAAGTCAGTGGATCTTATATTTTCTTTTAATAAATGAATATTTTCATTGATTGTACAATTTCTACTCTGTTTCTCTTCTGTACTTAGATTACTACTATTGTGGATTTTAACAAAATGATTGACCAAAATGTTTGCCTTCTCTTCCTCTGTTACAGCAGTAACATCTCCATCCTTCAGAACTGGATATCCATATTCTCTTCTAAACCCATTCATTCGTTTTATCATCCCCCAAACTTTTGAAATGTTTGTTTCCCTACCTACCGAATTACAAAAGTTTCCCCAATAAACCTTTTTTGCATTTTTTACAGTTCTTCTAACAAGAGCTTGCAACCTTTTATATTCAATAAAATTCTGAAAGTTATGATTTCTTTTTAACAATCTAAAAGCTTTATTTCGAGATTTTATTGCTACATCACAATCCTTTGTCCACCACGGTACGACTTTCTTCTTATATTTTCCTCTCTTTCTTTGGACTGCTTCACGTGCAGCACCTAAAATGGCTTCACAAATAGAAAGATTTAAATTGTCAATATCTAAATCAATATTAACTATTTGCATTTCTTTATCACTTATTATTTTATATTTTTCCCAATCAGCACTTCCAAAGATCCATCTTTCTACACCTTCATTGTCAAATGCTTCCATTTCCAAACCGATTTCAATGAATATAGGATAATGATCACTTCCTATAGTTGATTCTTTTAATACTTGCCAATTACTAATCCCAGCAAGACTTTCTGAAATTAAAGTTAAATCTAATGCTGATTCAGATCCATTTCTAATATTGAATCTTGTCCCCTCCCCATCATTAAGGCAAACTAAATTCTTTAGATCCATTATTTCTTCCACCACCTCTCCATTAGCATCATTACTACTACCCCACAAAGTACTGTAAGCATTAAAATCTCCACAACAGATTACTTTTCCTTCAATATTTTTAAACATTTCCTCCATTTGATCTAAATAAAGTTTTTTACAGGGATTATAAAAATTTAATATTTTAATACTTTCTTTATTAATCCAAATTTCTACAGATATCCATTCTAATGTTATTCCCTTTTCTAAATATCTATATTGTATTCCTTGTTTTATAAATATTATACATCCTCCTCCACTCTCTTGCTCCCTGTCTCTTCTAATACTGTCGTACCCTTTTATCACAAAATCTAATTCTGGTTTGAGCCATGTTTCTTGAACACAAATTATGTCTGGTTTTCTTTTCGAATTGTTTAAATATCCTTTAAATTCTTGACCATTAGCTAATAAACTCCTTGCATTCCATTGAAGAATAATCATTATATTCTTCCTTCGCCCAGTTTTCCATCTGTTTCTAGCTTTTTATTGATCGATTCCCAAGATAAATCCTTCACAGACAGAAATTTCTCTGCACCTTTTACTATGATTTTGATTTTTTCAGTTTTTTGCTTCACTTGATCAGTGCAGTTAATAACATAAGCCATGAACAGAATTAATTTATCCATTGTAATTTCCATTCCTGTCATTGCTCTTTGACTGGATTCAGATTTTGGACTAGGAGGAACTTTAGGATTTCCCTGTAGGCCCACTGCTCTTTTTTCTTGCACCTTTTTTGTTGCTTCTGCATAAGTAATGTTTTTAACAGTTTTTATGTGCTGTATTTCTGCTGCCTTCTTCCTTACTTCACATCCCCCATACGCTGCACTATGCTGACCTCCACAGTTACAACATTTCAACTGTACATCTTTCCCACATTCATCATACCTATGATCTGCACCACACTTTGCACATCTTTGCTTCCCTTTGCACACTGCTGCAATGTGACCGTATCTTTGGCACTTGTAACAGCGCAGAGGAGGAGGGATGTAAGGCCTGACAGGAAAACACATGAAACCAATTTTTATTTTATCAGGAAGAGCTTCGCCTTTAAACTCTAAAAGTACCGAGAGACTCTCAATCCTTTTCCCATCTACAGTTTTTAACAACCTTTTCAAATTGCATATTTCTACATCATGAATATTTCTTTTAAGTTTTTCCAGATCTTCCTCAAGTGGAATACCAGTGATAACCCCACGTGATACCTTGTTTTCTCCAATAATTTTCTTTTCACTAACAACCTTTTTGCAAATGTTATCAATCTGCATAGCTTTATTTTTTTGTTCTTCAGATTTACATTTGATCAACAGATTCCCATCACGCAGCATTTTCGCAAACTCCACCTCACCTAGTTTCTTTTTTATATCTTTAGATATCGCTATAGGGCTTAGATTCATGTTCTCATCTTCTTTCTTGAATTTAAGTATGACTTTAAATTCCTCATTTATCACTTTCCTTCTAACCAGTCTGTTTTCATCCTCTGAACTACACTCTTCAAGGCTTCTCTTATTTCTATGGCTGCCAAGCTCTCTGTCATCTCTCACAGCTTTGCCCTTACCTTTTCCTCCTCCTCTACCTACCGGAGTCCAGTCATCAAAATCCATATCCTCGTTGTAATCTACCTGAGTAGTCATCCCGATCCAGTCG